GTCCACTGACTGATTTCCCTAGCCCAAGCCTCTTCAATTTTTAAGTACAAGTACTGTGCAGATTCCTATTACTTCTTTTTAAGACAGAGTATCTCAGTTTCTTTTCTCCTCCTGTTAGAAACCACCCTGACAAAAGCAATTTAAGGGATAAAAGGCTTATATTCACCATTGTCCACAGGGTACAGTCTATCAGGGTGGTGGCTTGAAGCAGCTGGTCACATCACACCCACAACTAGGAGACTGAGAGAAAAGAATGTGTATGCTCAGCTCACTATCTCCTTTTATTTCATCCAGGGTCACAGTCCAGAGCATAGAGACACCAACACCAAGTCTTCCTGGCTTCATATTGCCTAATCAAAATAATCCTCCACTGGCATGTCCAGAGGCCTGTCTCCCTAGTGATTCCAAATCTCATTAAGTTGACCATGGAGGTTAACCACTGTGGTGGTATTATGTTCCCCCAAATATTGTGTACCTTAATAAAATTATCTGGGGTCAGAGAACAGACAGCCACTAGATACAAAGGCTAGAAAATGGTGACACTCACACCTTTAATCCTAGCATTCCAGAGATAGAAATCCCTCTGGATCTCTGTGAGTTCAAGGCCACATCGGAAATAGCCAAGCATGGTGACACACGCCTTTAATCCCAGAAAGCCAGCCTTTAATCCCAGGGAGTGGTGGTAGAAAGCGGGAAGATATATAAGGTGTGAGGACCAGAAACTAGAAGAATTTGGCTGGTTAAGCATTTGGCCTGGTTTAGCTTTCAGGCTATGGAGCAACACAGTTCAGCTGAGATTCATTGAGATGAGGACACAGAAGCTTCCAGTCTGAGGAAACAGGACCAGCTGAGGAATTGGCAAGGTGAGATAGCTGTGGCTTGTTCTGTCTCTCTGATCTACCAGCATGGCCCCCAATAACTCGCTTCAGGTTTGATTTTATTAATAAGAACTTTTAAGATTCCTGCTACAAACCACCACATGGGGTCTGTGTTTATAGTCTGGGTTGGCACCTTGAATTTCCTACATAACTCAGGCTGGCTTTGAACTCAATCTTCTGCTTCAGCCTCCTGAGTGTTGGGATTATAGGTGTACATCATTATACGTGACTAAAACTTATTCACATCTTATTCAAGTAAAAATTTACACACATTAAACAACCCTACATTAGAGCTATCAAGAATTTGTATTCCCTGCTCATTCTCATATTACCTTTTAAAGAATTTGTCCCACAGAAGTAGATCATGTATCTAAGAGATGCATCCAGATATTTGCAGTATGACTAGAGTAAAAATTAGTTGTTACCACTGGGGGAACTGCTAAACAAATTAACATTTACCTATAATGAAACATTATGTGGCAACTCAAAGGACCAAACCAAATCACAATATTAAATATAAAAAGAAAAATGTAAGCTGGACATGGTGGTTTGCGCCTATGTCAGCACTCAGGAGACTGAGGCAGGAGCATTGCTATTTGTTCATAGAGAGCCCACACTAAATATTGAGTTTCAGGTCATCCTGGTCTAGTGAGTAAAATCTTGTCTCAAAAAGAAAACAAAAAAGTGTGGCTTTATTTGTACAAATTATGAAATATCTGTAAAAAAAAAAAAAAAAAAAAAACTTCATTCACCCAGCTTGAATTTTCATAGCGAACATGCACTAGTTTACCATTTCTATAACTTTTTAAGAGCTTAAACCAAAGAGGGACTATATAACTTACATATGCTGCTGTTCTGTGCATTGGGGAAATATTGGCAGGCCACAGCAGACAGCCACACCCACCCAGAGAGTGAGGCTGGGAAAGGAGCCACAGCCTTGCTAGCACAAATCTCAAAGGCTAGTGGACCAGGGAGGGACACGAGGCTCCTATTTTCCTGCAAACACAGTGTCTACTAACGATTATGGCAGATCTGTCTATATGCAGATGTAAAGTGCATGAGCTGGGCCAAAATGGGCACTGCTCACTCCTGTTTAGTTTTTCACTACAGTAGTGTCTGTAACACGAAGTCCTATTTTTAAAAACAAAGGGCAAAGCAGTCCTTCACATTATACAAACTGGGAACCAGCCAGAGCAAATTTTCTCCAATCAAACAGATGTTTGGAGAAAAGCACACTTTCAGGAACAAATGTGGTGCAACAGATACACCAGGGAATGGATTTCCTCAAAAATCTTTTGCATGTTCAGGTCATTACATGTAATTGCCTTAGATATCAAAATTTTACAATACAAAAGTCTTATGGATAACTAAATGGCTAGCTCACACTACCTGCTCATGAACAGACACACAATGAACAAATGAATGAATGAGTGAGTCAAGCTCAGGACTCCCCCCAGGCTTTCTTTTCCCACTTGGGGTAAGAGGGTGCTAAAGGTGGAATCTACAGCCTTGAACATTGTGAGTACATGTACTAACACTTGTAGGGATTACTGTGTGTCTGTGTGTGAGAGTGTAGAAAGAGTGTGTGTCTGTGTGTGAGTGTGGCGGGAGAAGAGAATGAAAGAGTGTGTGTGTGTGTGTGTGTGTGTGTGAGAGAGAGAGAGAGAGAGAGAGAGAGAGAGAGAGAGAG